TATTTTAACCCTAAGTCAGTGGTCGGTGAACTGCAGCTCGAGAGCCACATGCAGCTCTTTGGCCCCTTGAGTGTGGCTCTTCCACAAAACACCACGGCCTGGGCGAGTCTATTTTGAAAAAGTGGCATTAGAAGAAGTTTAAATTTAAAAAAATGTGGCTCTCAAAAGAAATTTTAATCATCGTACTGTGGATATTTGGCTCTGTGGACTAATGAGTTTGCCGACCACTGGCCTAAGTGATAAAGACATGCAACCCAGGAACTTCCCATCAGCCCTTCCTGGGTGGAAGGCCGCATGAGTTGCCTCCCACTTTAATGTGCTAGGAATCCCCTGGGGATCCTGTGAACACACAGGTTGGTCTGGGCTGGGGCAGGGGCTCTGCAGTGCCACCCATGGACAGGGCGTGCGGATGGACTGAGCCCAGGGGTAAGCTGCACTAGAGGAGGGTGTGCAGGTGACTTAGCCGCTCTCAGCCTTGGTTCGTGGACTGTAAAGTGGAGATACCTGCTAAAAGGGTTTGATGCAGGTTCAACAAGGCCTGTGGATGGCGAGCCACGATTCCTGACACACAGTAGGACTTCAGTTATTTTTTAAACGAATGATAGTGTGAATCATAAACGAGCGAATGAGTGAAGGAATGACTGCATGGACAGATGAATGGATCGGACAACTCTCTAGCCAGCCCATTCGCTGGGGAGATTGAATTCAACAGATTCAGCAAGACTCTTATGAAGTCCTTTGACCTCCTGACTGATTCAACCTTCGTGGCCGAAGGTAAAATGAAGGGCATCCATCTCCTCCTGAGTGTGGTGTGACCTGACCTCAGGTGTGTGAATGGAGGAATCCAATGAACATGATTGACTGATTCAGTCATGTTTGATTAGGTGCACCTGCCAATAGGCGACTCACAAACTCCCCCCTCCCACAACCTTGGACAGTCTTCATAACTTCAGAAATTTCCAGACCTGATAAAATCAGAAGTCATACGTCACCTCCATCGGTAGCTTAGCATCCTGGGTGCAAAATCATCAACTTCCATTTTTATTTTAATTAGAAAGGGGGTGCAATATTTCAGGAGAAGCCTTATCATCCACCCACATGCCGTCTAAGTGGAAACTGCTGGAAAGGAGCCAGCATAGGCATGGACAGTGCTGTGATTGCCACCTGTTATCCAGCCCCGAGAAAATGCCCGGTTACCCGGGTAACAGGCCCACCTGTACACTCCCAAACTTTGTGCACTCAGAATCTGTGTGGACAGTGCCCTTGTCCATATTATAGATTTTCATGATAAAGAATACAGATTAACATAAGACTGAGTCCATAGGGTCAATACCACTAATTAAAAAGAAGTCTTGCTGTGATTCCTAAAAATAATTACATCGATATTTCATTATTTCGTAGTGTTTTTGTCTCTGAGACATACGCCTGCTCCCCTAAAGGCGCTGTAGCTCAGAAGAAATAACTACACCACATGACACTAATCCTACAATGGGAAGGAATACTGTTAAAAATGCATCTTAGCAGTCATTTCTGTCCTAAAAGATCCAGCCATGTCTGGATGACTGCTGGCTACAGTGATGAGCTGGGATGGAGGCTGGACGCAGAGCAGACGAACTGTGCATGAATTTCTGTGTATGTGCCCGTTTCCGATGAAATCCAATTTTAATGAGTTCACACCAGTTACTGAGTATTTAATGCTGGCCTCTTCTCCCCACTAGCATCAATAGAAAACTGAAGGTTAACTATCTTTTTTTAAAAAATAGAGAATTTTCCCAATTGACGTGGCTCAGTGGTTGACCTTTGACCTATGAACCAGGAGGTCATGGTTCGATTCCTGGTCAGGGCACATGCCCGAGTTGTGGGCTCCATCCCCAGTGTGGGGCGTGTAGGAGGCAGCCCATCAATGATTCTCTCTCATCATTGATGCTTCCAACTCTCTCCCCCTTCTCCCTTCCCCTCTAAAATCAATAAAAAAAAATATTTGAACAAAATAGAGACATGGACAAAGATGGGACCAAAAGCAGATGCCACTTACATAGAGTTGGGCCATGGCATTCTATTCCTATGGGGGCAGAGCCACACGATCCAGAGTTTATGAGACTCATAGGCTCAGTCACGCTCAACAGGGCGTTGGGACAGAAAAGAAGTGGGTTCAAAGCCCGGGCCTGCCCTGGATGCAGAATGATTGCCTCTGCTATCAAAGGCGAGGGCAAGAAATACATCCTCCACAGGGTCTGTGTGTTTTCCCCGTGCCCTCGGCGTGGCCGCCTGATGTTACCGTAATTCTCTCTGCGTAAAGCTTTTTGCTGATATTTGAGACGGCAGGCTGCTGCTGCTCACGGAGAGAGACGATGCCTCACGCCAGCCTGAGCAGCCCGCCTGCACGGGGCACCCTCCCTGCTCTTCCATTAGCGGCTGATTGTCCCAAATTGATGCTAAATTGACTTGGCCGGCTCGGGCGCCTTTCAGTGGTTGGCACCGACCGTGGTCTCATCCTGGAAATTATATGGTCAAAGCCTTCATGTTTCTGGAAATCCTAACCATTTTGTTAATGTGAATTAGGGCCTGGTAAAGAGGAATTAGTTAGACACCTGCCCTGTGGTACCCAGACAGGGCATGCTTCAATGAAATGGTTTTTATTAAAAAAAAAAATAAAAAAAATATATATTTTCATTGATTTCAGAGAGGAAGGGAGAGAGAGATAGAAACATCAATGATGAGAGCAAAACAAACCAAGCTTGTGCCCTGACCTGGAATTGAACCGTGACCTCCTGGTTCATAGGTTGATGGTCAGCCACAGAGCTACAGTGGCTGGATTACAATATGTTGTTTTTTAAAATGGTTCTCTTCTGCCTTCTGCTTCGCACTCTCCCCTTTACTGAAAGGTCCCCTGCCTCTTCGTTTCTAACTGCTGTGCGAGTTTGAAATAAATCCGACCCTGACGTGCAGGCCGAGCCCAGCTTTTCTACATTTTCAAGTGACGGAGACAGAATCCAAAGGAGAAGATTTCACGGCACGCGAAAATCGGATGAAATTCAAATTTTCCAAAGATGTTACTGGGACGTAGACCACACCCGTTCATTCTGTGTGGCCCACGGCTTCGGGCACAGCGGCTGACAGAGGGGAGGGGCCGGGACAGAGGTGGCATGGTCCATGGAGCCTCAGCTAACGGCTCTGTCCCTTTACTGGGCGGGAGACGTTGGCCCGCCCCTGGGACAGATCACCAAAGCCTCTGTGGCTATCGCGGCAAAGCGGGAACCACAGCATCCTATACAATGCCGCTGCGAACCCCACGAGCCATCCTCACAAAAGCTCCGCTCGCCCCTTCCCCCGTATTGGAGTTGGGGGGCCTTGAAATCTCAGGTTTCCCATCTACTAGTATACATCGAGGAGAATGCTCTGACCTCCCTTGGGAAATAAGACGATGCACTCATCGACATCCCTGACACAATGGCAAATGCATCATCAAGAACTGTTGATAGCTTGAAAGGTATTATTATTCCCCAGAAATGCGTTCATATGCAAATAGGTCAGATCACTGGCATCTATCTTTAAAGGTATAGAGTCTACCTTCCGTTGTCCATTCTTGCAAGGCCCCTACTTACATGGACACCCAGCCATGGAGGCGAACTGCAACTGAAACAGGCACACACGCAGAATTTCAGACTGACCAGGAGCCCTAGACCATCGGGAACCACCTAGGGCCGTGGTCGGCAAACTGCGGCTAGAGAGCCACATACGGGCTCTTTGGCCCCTTGAGTGTGGCTCTTCCACAAAACACCAATGCCTGGGCCGGTCTATTTTGAAGAAGTGGCGTTAGAAGACGTTTAAGTTAAAAAACTGTGGCTCTCCAAAGAAATGTCAATCATTGTACTGTTGCTATTTGGCTCTGTGGACTAATGAGTTTGCCGACCACTGGCCAGGAGGAGGTGTAGAGAGAAGACCTTGGTGGCCGAGTCCACAGTCCTTGGGAAGGCGGTAGCTGCCACCCCCAGAAACAGGGGCCCTGGCTTCACTAGACTTTAGTGCCAGGTGCCCTCCCATCCAGCTCACCTGTGGCTCCTCTTGCCCAGAAGCCTGCTGTGCTGGCGGCCAGGACTGGCCCTTCACCGGATTCACCATTCTTCCCCTGCACCTTTCAGGTGTGGGGCCCTTCAGCACCTGGGCTGGTTTTCATACTTAGACGTTACATGTACGGTTAGAAGAGTGAGATTCTCTCTCTCTCACACACACACACATCCTCACTAGCAGGTAAAGGATGGCTAGAGGAGCACCTCCATCAATCGGTTGCCTCCTATAGGCATCCTGACTGGGGATTGAGCCCACAACAGCCACCTTTTCGGTAGACGGGATGACGCTCTAGCAACCAAGCCCCCGGCCAGGGCCAGGACTGCGCTGTCTGCTAATGCCACGCCCTCCGGCTCCTGGATCCCACCTCACCTTGGCCCACTTGCGGCCAACTTCCTGACTTCCGTGACATCGGAGCGGCGGGACATTCCACGCCCGTTACGTAGCCCCGCACCTGACAGGTGGCTACTGACTCTGCGAGCAGCCTCCCTCACCTCCCGGACGGCCCCGGAGCCACGAGCTTCCCGCAGGCCCCGCGTGCTGGCACCTTTCCCGAGCGCCAAGCAAGCAAAGAGCCCTCCCGAGCTGCGCAGTCCAATGTGGTAGACATATGTGGCCATCCCGCCTCGCAATATGGCCAGTCCTAATTGAGCTGTTCTGTGTAAGCACAGAACCCACGTCTGACTGCAGAGCCCGAGGGAGAAATGTAAACCGTCTCCTTGATCATTTTAATGCTCATTACGTGTTGCAATGATACCGGTTCAGATATTCCGGCTACGGTGAGTGGTCAGAATCAACTTACATTTATTTCCTTAAGTTTTTTTTTTGTTTGTTTGTTTGTTTTTTAATGTCGATAGCCAACCAAAGATGGTTCCCTATCTGGTTTGCATGGTTTTCTACTGGGCTGGGGGTTTGCCTGGTGTTCCTCAGAGCCGGCCGGCCGGCTGGGTACTGATGGATGAAGGTTGGTGCAGAGCTAAAATGCAGAGAACGCTACGCAGGACTCCAGGAAGCTTCTGTTCAGAATTTGAAATTCACATTCCTCCGACACACCACATGACACGCCACCTCCCCCAACAAGGCTTTCAAGAAGGTCTGAGGACCCCCCGAGTGATGAGGCTGGACTGGGTGACCCCAGCCTCCGCTCAGGGCTCCCTGGATGGTGCCCAACCGCAGAGGCGTGACATCTGCATTGGCGTTTGCCATGTATTCTCCCCTGGCATTTACGTGCCCCTTAGATGGATTACCGTTAGGTTTCTGGTTAAGATTCAGGGATGGGAATGATAGCCAGGCTAGCGATACGAGATGTAGATATTATCTAATTTATGGGCTCCGGGGCTGTAGGATCCCTTCTGGCTCAAGAAATATATGAACCACAGACACACCGGCCCTCGTTCCGCAGTGAGGGCTCTCAGGCCGGGTCCCTATTGTGCCGCTGGATTTACGGTCTGGCCAGGTACGCAGACCCACGTGCGATATTTCAACGCGAGTGGCTCCAGCCATCAGAGGGGCCCAAGCCAGGCCTCAGACACCCGCTGGGCGGCTGACGAATTGCTCTCTCTCCTCGCCATCGAGTGTGGCATTAGGTGGCGTCTACCTTTATTATTTTAAAGGAGAAACATGGATAGTCAATGCTACTAAGTGAAACCTAAGAAAGAAACGTCCACTCGGCGAATAGAACGTGACCAACAGGCTTCCTGTCTTTATCACAGTGGGTGAAGGTGAAGAGGAAGGAAGAAGAGCGAGTGGGAAAGGGAATGACAGAGAAAATAAAATCCCACGTCTTCCCTAGAGCAGACTTCGAAAAACATCCTGAGTTTATGAAGAATGGCTAAGATCGCCACTTCTGGAACTTGTTAGAAAAGTGGCATTTGGGCCCTGGCTGGTGTTGCTCAGTGGTTTGAGCGTCCGCCTACCCACTCAATGGTCTCAGGTCTGATTCCTAGTCAGCCAGTCCATGTGTTGCTCTCACATCAATGTTTCTTGCCCCCTCCTCCTCCCCCTCCTCTCTGTTTCTCCCTCTACTCCTCTATCCCTTCCACTCTTTAAAAATCAATGGAAAAGAATATCCTCAGTGAGGATTAAACAAAAATAATACAAACATGATCAAGACAATGGCATTTGGTTGGGAAGCAAAGGCATTCTTGAAATCCTTTCCCAACATCAGTGCCAGTTGGCACTTGCCCGGCAGTGGGAGATGCTCGGGTAGCTTCCCAGGCTCGGCAGGGGTCGGGCTGGGCCTTTTTCTGCTCTGAGAACCACAGGCACAGCCGGCCAGGCAAGCAGGGGGGCCATGCGGCAGCGGGCGAGGGCAGCGCCCGGTTACTTACGTCGGCAGCCGGCGTGCCAGGAGTTGCCCGGCAGACACTCATCACACTTGGGCCCTGTGGCTCCCGCCTTACACTCACAGAATCCCGAGTCATTACAGCGCTTGTGGACGGAGCCCAAGGGGTTACAGTAACACTCTGCAGAAACAGACAACACATGGGCTGGAGAGCCGGCCCGGGCCCGGGGGCCACCGAGACCCACGTGCCACGTCCATCACCACCTCGCTTCCTCGAGGAAAGACGCCGCGATCGAAATGATTTGGCAAGGCGGCCGCGGCAGGTCCATTGACTTCTCTGCTCGGCCTCCCAGGAAATCAACCAGAACCTTCCAGGGAGACAAGGCATCGTGCCCCCCCCCCACGAAGGGGGCCTGATGGAGGAGCCATTGCTGGGGGAGCTTACACAGTCTCATGGACGCCCCCAGCAATGGGGACAGCCAGGCTACATCGCCCACCATCAGGGCCAAGTCTGCACGGAATGACTCCAACGGGCTGACCTGCTGCATTCCGGATCCGAGAACTGCCGGACAGGACACTTTTAAAGTGGGACACGCATGCATGCACTCTGTCCGTTCCCAGGCAGCTTTCCTCTCTGACCCGGGACGACACCCAGGAGGGCCTGAGCTACGAGGCCAGTGCGGCTTTTCTGCCGCTGAGATGGATGCTTAGAAAGGAAAGATAAACGCTGAGCTCCCACGGAACTGTCTGTGCTGAGGCTTTCCTCACTGGATTGTCTGAGCTGTGGGTCATAAGCAGGAAACGGGATGTTTCCCTGACTCTGCCCACAGTCTCATGGGAGGCATTTTTAGGGCCTGAGCAGGGCTGGGCTTGAGGGCCGGATCTGGTCGCCTGGCCCTTAGGACCAGCTGGGTGGCAGCGTGTGGAGTCCGGGGACAAAGTTTCTTGCCTGATCACCCCACTGTGGGATCACGGGCAGGTTCTTGGGCCCCTCCGTCTTGCACGTTCCCTCTTGAACCAGGGTCCCAGGAAGAGGTTTTCTTCTTAACACACACACACACACACACACACACACACACAACAAACCCCAAATAAAATGATACCAAGAAAACAACTGAACCACCGCTGTAGCCAGCCCTGGGAGTTCCGGTTCAGTGTCACCCAGTAGAGCAGCCGTTAGCCACGGAGACTCAGGGTTTGACACTACGGAGGGCCACAGGCCGGCTCTCACTTTTTGTCCTGGGAACCAATGAGCTAACTTCTTCAAAGAACGTGGAAGGCCTTAGCACGGTGACTTATTTCATGGTGATTAAATCATTTTTTTTTCTTTTTATAGGCCAGCATTCTTCTGCTACAAACATGTAGAAGACGAACAGGTATACACAGGTAAAAATAAAACGAGGTTAACTCTAAAACGCTGTCTCCTGGACTGGCTTGCTTTGTCCTTAATAGCTAGTTTCATTTTAAATAGGCATTTTCTATCTTAACCTGTGTGTAGGGGGTTGTTGTTTAAATTTTTTTTTAAAAAAAGTTAATTCTGTTATGGCATTAAGATGTTTTTTTTCTGAGCCTATGTGTAAGTAGGTACCTATCTCCAAACTGTCATATGTGTTCTACTGTTTAATGTGTATACGTTGACTATAAACCACCAATATTTTGTTAGCCAGGTAGTAGAATTTTCTCTGGCCAGTGTGAATTCACGTACTACCCTAGTCAATTAGTCCATAAAAAGTTGATTAATAGAAGGTTTTAGATGCAAAAATTTGTAAACAAAGTTGTTTCCACCCCCACCCCAAAATGTGAAATGTCTGAACCCCGGTGTATGCCAGGGGTTGTCTTAGGAAAGGGGTGGGTGTAACGAACTTCCTCCAGCAGACATGAGAATAAGTGATAAGACGGAGTGCAGTCTACATTCCACCATCCACACAAATACTTTGGTTTACAGCGGTTCTCAGCCCTTCTAATGCCTCAACGCTTTAATACAGTTCTTTTTAAATATATATATATTATTGATTTTTTACAAAGAGGAAGGGAGAGAGAGAGTTAGAAACATCGATGAGAGAGAAACATTGATCAGCTGCCTCCTGCACACCCCCTACTGAGGATGTACCTGCAACCAAGGTACATGCCCTTGACTAGAATCAAACTTGGGACCCTCAGTCTGCTGGCCAACGCTCTATCCACTGAGCCAAACCGGTTTTGGCTTTAATACAGATCCTCATGTTGTGATGACTCCCAACCATAAAATTATTTTCGTTGCTACTTCGAAACTGTAATGTCACAACCTACAGTTTGAGAACCGCTGGCAGGGTCCCCCAAGACCATCGGAAAACACAGATATTTACGTTACGACTCATTAACAACAGGAAAATTACAGTTATGAAGTAGCAACGAAAATAATCTTATGGTTGGGGGTCACCACCTCATGAGGAACCGTATGAAAGGGCCGCGGCATTAGGAAGGCTGAGAACCACTGGTTGAGAAGTATCTGTGTTATGGATGGGACCATGCTGAGCGGCAGGTGCTGGGGGGAGGAGCACGGTCTTGGAGATTCTCTTTTCTTTTATGAAACTAGGAAGAACAGGCAGAGCTGCTGGACTAAAAAAAAAAAAAATGCCACAAAATACTTTTGGAGGTTTGACTGCATAGCTATCCTGGGATTGATTCATAGGGTCAAAGTGTCTTGCGTTTGTTTTGCTCTACAGAAGGGACCGCTGACGACCTGAACTTGGGTTTCCAGGGGAATAAAAAAATGACACAATATCAGCAGAGCTCCTGTTTGGTAGCAACGGCTGAGCCCCGCAGTGATAACCTAAGGTCCCCAACCAGGCATCCTCTAACTTCCTGCTTCCTGCTTCCTGCCGGAGGGTCTACGAGACAGAAGCATGGACGTCCTCTCCATGTAACTGCTGCTCACAGGAGGTAGTGCCATATATCTCTGGAGACATGGCTGTGCTGAGTTTGTGTGGAAATGGGTCAAATGCACCAGTGATCCCAAAGCAGCGATCACCGCGGCAACATGGACCAGCCTGCATTGGACATTTGCTGGGATATCAAATGATGCAAACAGTGTGCATCTACTTCAACAGCCTCCGTGTTTGGTCAGAGGTTAGGGGCTGTTCCCTGGTGGATTTGATGGCCAGGTGTTAAAGAATTGGGGTAGTGCCCTAATATATATATATATATATTTAGAGAAGATTTTGATAAAGTTCACATTTTTGTGAGATCCAACTTTCTAGTTCTGTGACAAGGCATTGGGTAGATCCCCATGCATTTCCATGGGTGCCTTCTGTAAAAAACAAACCCTCCCAGATTTAACCCTCAGTCCTGCCCTGAGCCTGGAGCCCTGTGGGGAGCGTAATTGTGGGGGATAGGGAGAAGGTGCATGTGGCTGACAGGGCTCACCGGGGGCCTTGGCCATGATCCACAGGCTCCCCAGGAGCAACCTTCCACCTCAGTCCCGATTTCCCTGCCCTTGGTCCCTCATGTGGGAAAACTGGTATCTCAATGTCACTGATTCATTGCACATGTGCATATATAGACTACAGACAAAAGACGGACCATGGCTTATACCAGCTGGCCACATTTTTCAGTTCATTCTCTAACCATCTCCCCCCCCCCCCCCCCCTTAGGAAAAGGCCACAGTGTAAGGAGTTGGTGTGTAAGGGGGACATTGTAGCTACTGGCTAATGTAGATAACGGTACCTCTCAACACCTGTCTCTGCTTACCAAGTCCTTTCCTAGGTTTGAAGAGTGAAAATACGTGCTTCCCAGATTTCTAATTTCTAACATTCCCCAAAGGTTTAGGATTTTAATGAATAGACTTTCTAGGAATGGAAAAACAACAACAACAACAAAAACCCCAAAACAACGGCTCTTGATTTTTTAAAAAAAGCATAAATAAATAAAAAAAAATGTCTACTTAAGCTTCCATATTTTATCAGCAGCTTATGTTTTAAAAGACAAAAGCAGAATGGGCTGGCTTCTTGTCTGTGGATAATCAAGCATAGATTTATGATACAACTATATCTCGGAATCGGAGGGGGAGCACAGATTTTGTCCTTCATAGGTTATTTTAAGGACTGGGAAAAGGCCCAGCTTCCTCTGAATAAAATATTACTTTAAATAAAACATATCAAGGTATTGTAACATTACCTGCGATGAGCAAGTCCCTGGGATACAAATCTTTTCTTTTGAGGCCTTTTTTCTTTAACTTATTTCAAGTAACGTGAAATTAAGTAAAACCTTTTAATCGTATATAAATAAAAATAGATTTCATCCCTGTGCTGTTTATTATTTTAACTTTTCTCTTGCTTCCATATTTATAGTGTGGCATTTATGTATTTTTACAGATGACATTCAGCAACATGGAACTCTGCATTCAAAATGCAGACAGCTACACTTCTTTGGGTTGTTAGTAATATTCTCAAATCTCCGTAACCCCGTTGTGTTAGAAAGGCAATTGAATTTCTGTTCCTAGGGTTGGAGTGAAATTGTGGCTCTCATTCAAAAAGCATTCCAGGCTGTGGAACCTCCAGGGAAGGCAGGAGAGGGTGGGTGGGAAGAGATCCACCAAAGACCTTGTATGGGTATATGCATAACCCATGGACACAGACAATAGGGAGGTGAAGGCCTGGGGCAGGGAGCGGGGATGGGCTAAAAGGGGTCAATGGGGGAAAAAGAGGACGTAGGTAATACTTTCAACAATAAAGATTAATAAAAAAATCCTATAAGTTAAGTCTGAGAAGCATAGCTTTGCTAATTGGGTCAGGCTGGGAGACCATGCTCAAGCTTTGAAGTCAGAAAAGGGACTCTGCTAACACTGCATGATGTGGGTCAACTCACCTTACTTTTCTCAACTAGAAATTGGGAAGTTATCAGTGGAAATTACCCCTGACCCCTTACTCCCCCTCCAGCTTTGTTTCTAAGGAGCAAGTGAAAAAAAAACACAGTCACATGTCAGCACACAGTTCACCGAGTGTTTGCCGTGAGTCCTGTAGGATCCCAATGTGACCGGGGGTCCTCAGATGACTTACGTACCTAAGGCACCCGGCCATTATATAGCACACTGGGACTTGAACCCAGGTCTCCGGCCTCTAAGTCCAGTGATTTCTCCACTAATTCACAAAAGATAAGTGAGGAAGGCTTTGAAAAATAGGACATACTGGAGATATACACAGTGGGATGTAAACTTGGCCCAATTGAGAGGATTCAAAGCAAGGTGCACAGCTATTTAAATGAGACACTTAGCAAATACCTATATTGAGAATGGAGAATGATGATCCCACAATTGCATATTGATTGGGTTCCTTTTTTTTATTTATGAAAAGACCATCGGTCATTTTTCACCTCCTGTATTCTGTTAAAATTAGTCTCTATGTGAAATATTCTACCTTTAAAATGGGTTGCCTATATGGTTAAACCTACTGGTGTGGTAATTGATTCACAGCCTGCACCATTTTGAATATATGCATCTCTCCCTAGATGACGTGAAATTCCATTTATTGGTTCTTACTTTCCCATCCGCTCCCTTTTCTTAAAGACAGGTCCCACTATGCACAGGCAGGGGGATGGGAAGGCCACCTGATTCTCTCCAGTTGACATGGTCCACCGTCACGGTGGGTGGGGACAGCGCCCCAGGGACCCAACCCCATGGACTCAATTTTCCAGGGCTCACGAAGCTAAGGGAATGAATCATCTAGAATAATTCTGAGAAATTGCTTCTCTTTTTTGGGGAGACTGTAGAAAAATCCAGTAAATGGAATTTCTTTTCTGTGGATGAAAAGGCAGGCAAGGCTTTTCTACATTACCAGCTGCATGTGGCTCTCGGTTGCAAATGACAATATAGATAACCAACCGATATTTGTTGATGAGCGATTATGGGCAAGAGGTTGCATCCTAACCTCGACAATTCAGGCCCCTACAATGAGACCCCATTCTTGAGGTTGAATGCATAGCTTCACTTTAAGGTTAGGTTGAAATGACCCGATTTGAGGAATTCATGCAAAAGAAAAATCAAAAATCCCTTTCTCTCTGAAACATTTTTTCCAGCTCATTATTGTTAAAGCAACAGCCATGTAAGGTTTCTCCATCTACCCTCCCCAACTACGATTTCACCCAGCACAGGTGAATGTTCAGTCTACCACAGGGATGCTTTCCCGGTAGAGAAAGTTCCTTCTGGCTTGGCCGTGGTGCACACCCCCAGCCTCTCCGCCTTCCACAGCTCCCCGTAGGCGCGGGTAAGGCACAGAACAGTAGCTTCTGAAAGGAGAAGGGGACTGACCTATGCACACATTCTCATCGTCCAGCTGTGCCGAAGCATTGCGGAAGTAGCCCAGCCTGCATAGCTCACAGTGCTGCCCTCTAGTGTTGTGCTTACAGCTCACGCAAATGACTGTGTTTAGTAGATCGATATAACTGCATCGATTGGAGTGGCCGAAGCATTCACAATCTTGCAAGGAAGAAGAGACATGTATACAGGGGTGTATACGCAGCGTCAGAGTCATCGCACACTACATGCTCAAGTAGGATGAAGGGTGGAGGGGGGATGGAGACATGGCATGACATCGAGGCGGTGCGACAGGACACATGGCGGCGGCGGGTGGCTGTGACGGGCATGGAGGGAGCATCTGTTTCGAGCGGGGGGTGGGGAGAGAGAGGCTGGACATTCAGGACATGACGGAGCTTGTCACGCCTTGGCAGACAAGACGAACAGAAGCATTGGCAGGTGCACACCTTTTAATATCCGGGAAGGCTTGGCTTCCGGAGATGCCAGAGCCTCATTTTTTTGCACCCCGAGAACTTTGCTGTCTGTATCCCTTCCCCGTCTTTGCAGACTTACAAGAGAATGGGTGGGTTGGGGGAGGGGAGGGTGCATGTGAGCATCTAAGGCCTGACTCTGTCATCACCCACAGCTCCTTGGATTAGAGTCTCTCACTATCCATGATGTCAAGAGAGGAACTCAGTCAGGAGTTCACAGAAGTCATGGCCAATGGAATAGGGATCCAGACAACTAGATATTCTTTGTTTTTGTGTTTGTTTTTTTTCTTCCCCCAAATGTCAAGAGGCAAGAGGGCCACCGAAAGCATTTTGCCAGGCCAGATCTGCATGTCTGCTATCATGTGAGAGAAAGTATAAAGAGCAGGGAGGTTATTCGTGTAAAAACAAGGGTTCTTGGTATTTCTTCTCCTTCCAAGTTTCAAGCTAAGTCCTTCTACAATAGAAAGATCAGGCAGTACTGTGTCCCCAGGTTTTTCCCCCCTTATCCCCTCAAAATGTTGGCGGCGCCTCTGATGCTTAGGGGTGACCATGATAAGAACTAGCCGAGGAAATGGGGCCGAGAGGAGGAGAACAGGTGGGGAAGGGGGGAGGGGACTGGATTGTTCTCTGTTGCATCTCAACCAAAGCAAGAGGTTGTTCATCGAATTCAACCTCTTTCAAAGAAGTGATGGAGACAAAGCCTCTATTGGTAGCCATAATGGTCCAATCAGACCCTTAAAAAAAAAAGGTGAGGGGTAACTAGATGGGGAATCTAATTTGTCTTCTCAAACTATGGGGGTGGACCTAGCTAGACATCTAAGAAAAAAGTCAACCATGGCACCGCAAACCTTGTTTACCTAAAAACACTCCTCTTACTAATGCCTGGCTTTCATGTTTTCTCACTATGAAGCCACAGACAGTCACCACTTGAACCCATCCATCCATCCATCCATCTATCCATGCATTCAATCAATACTTAATGGGCTTGTCTACCATATGCTAGGCATGATGGGAGGAGCTGAGTTAACCTTTTGGCCTAGATAAAATTTTGGAAGTATTGCCTTTGATGACCAAAATAAAAAATGAATAAGTATAATGACACATAAATAAAGAAGGAAGGACTAGCTGCCTTCTTCCTTCTTCTTCTTCTTCTTCTTCTTCTTCTTCTTCTTCTTCTTCTTCTTCCTCCTCCTCCTCCTCCTCTTCCTCCTCCTCCTCCTCCTCCTCTTCTTCTTTTTTTAAATTAACCTGCTTCTACCCATCAGAATGCTATGGATTTATGCAGTGGAGAGCCAGTTACTGCAGCAGAGCACTGAGATCAAGGTTCTAACAGAATGATGTAAAATTCAGACAGAAGCAGAGGAGGACACTGGATGCAGTGAAGAGTGAGTGGATGGTCCCAGGAACAGGGTCAGCATCTTGGGGACTCAGAGGCAGGAAGAAGGGGAGGTTCCTGCGGGCGAGCCGCTGCTCCTGTGGAAGGCTGTCTGTCTCACGGCAGGTGTGCTGGGTGGGGACGGAGATGGGCATCCGGGGACCCAGAGCGAGGAGAGCACAGGGAGGCACCATGTGGGAGGTGGGGTAAGAAGATACATGCATACGTTTAGTAGTTTTAGGGCATGTCAAGCTAAAAAAACAATACTAGAATGACAGGTCACCAAATTAAATTCTCTCAGGAAACAACAAGCATTTCGCCCCGATACACTAGATCTTTCTGAGTTACAATTTCCTTCAGGGGCATTTCTGACTCACAAGGGAACCAAGGCCTCGAAAGCTTTTCTTGTTGAGTGTTTGAAATGGGGAGAAACTTTCTGGCCTGGAGACACCTCAGAGAAGTGGTCACAGGGAGGAGAGCCAAGTCTGAAATCTCGTTCCCAAGGACTTTGTCCATCTGCCTGGCCTCCTGAGGAGGGGGCTGCCCCCTCTGGAAGGGGACTCAGCGGACATCCTTCATGGTCCCTACCCCAGGTTGGTCCTCGGTGCGCCAAATGCAACATCTTTTGTGTCAAAAGCATCCTTGATGTCAAACGTTCATCCTAGGAGCTTTTTGGAACGACGCAGGAGTCCCTGTTGTTAAGAAGCTAGTTGAGTGGGTAAGACAAGCAGGTGCTCAGATAGAAAACAGAATGGCTTGGCTCAGAACACCCAGGGTTCTGTGCACGGCCTTGGGAGAAACTAAGGAATTCCAGAGGAGCTAGGGAAAGTGACTTCACACTGGGCTTAGTATGAAACCTCTGATCGCAGGTCGAGTGTATTAAAATAAAGGAGGGGCTGAGCGTTCCAGGGGGAAGGAGTAAAGTGTGTGCAGAAGCAGGAAGTTGGAAAGTTTCATGCCCTGGTTCCTTTGTGGGTGTCTGAGGGTTCAGTAACATCTGCCCCATGGCCAGACCACATTTGAGCTCCTTCTGGCCAAGTTCATCCAAGAAAAAAAAAAAGGGTATCTGTAGATTTCCAAGTTCCACACTCTTGAACCCAGTCCGTGAATGTCAAACGGGACTGGCACTGATTTTTTGCATTTAAGGAATAGTTCACATTTCTGGGATAACATTCTATTTGTTTCTGGATCCTCTTTGGAAAGCCAATATATTACTTTGGATGAGAAGAGTTAAATAATATAAATTATATAAGTAATTATATAGCGATACAGGGAATCCTACATAGCTCAACACGCAACATTATAAACTTACTTCAGAAGGTAAGTGAATATTTTACATGCCTTACAATCTAGGAAATGGGCTAATGGTCACTTGATTCTTTTAACACTGCCAAGACTCTTCCCGGACTTTGATAAAGTTGCCTTCCTTGGCTGTGATGTATACTTGAGAATGTAAAATGAGAAGACGACCTTGGATAGGGATTTGAAAAGCACGAGGACACTAGATAAATGCAAGACATTTCAGATGTAATTCTGAGACTGCTGTGTTCCTTTTCAATGTTCTGTGAATTTACCACTTCCCAGCAACGACTCTTCCCACAATGGGCACAGAATCCATGAATGATCAATTCATGCTATCGTCTGAGATGCATCAGCATTTTAAGAGCCTGAAGGAATAGCTCAATGACTCTTGGAGGGTCCGGTTCACAGACCTACCATCTCCTCCCTTCCCTCTTCCCAAGAATGGAGTGCATGGTTTATCCTGGTAATTCCTTCCTTTCACATATCCTCACTCCCTGGTCCCCTGCCCACCTCACCCCAATCATCGTCTCCTGGGCAAATCTGGTCCTGGTTATAGCCAACTCTCCAGCTCTCTGTGCCTGGTTACAGCTAACTCTCCAGCTCTCTATGCCTATACACCTAGTGGCTGAATGCAGGGGGTTTATCCAACTGTTTTGAAACCAGTCTCACTTTAAGTTCATGACCATAACTCTTCATGGGGCCCTCGGAGCTGCCTGGCAACCCTTCTTGGCAACCTTCCTGAGCAGAGGGCTTCTCTCTCTCTTCTCCTCCTCCATGCCCACCACTGTTTCCCTCCCTCTCTGCCCAGTCTGCGCACACATCTCAGGGCACAGTCATTGGCCCTCTTTGCCCTTTAGGCTCACCCTGGAGCCAAGGCTGCTTTTGTTTTGTTTATTAATCAGCACCATGGATATATTTTCCCACTGAGTTTTAGAGAGAGTGGAAGGAAGAGGGAGAGACAGAAGGAGAGAAACATGGATGTGGGAGAGACACATCGATGGGCTGCCTCTTGGACTCACCTCAACCAGAACCAGGGATCAAGCCTGCAACTGAGGGACAAGCCCTTGACTGGGATGGAAGCTGGGACCCTGCAGTCTTTGGGCAGATGCTCTACCCACTGAGTCACACTGGCGAGGGCTATTGCTGTTTTTTAATCCAGCTTCGCAACTTTGTAAGCTCCCCAAAACACTGTGAACCCCTGATTTGGCAGACCGCCATTTAACAGACTCTGGATTTAACGGACAACATTTCTGGTCTGTATGTTTTTAACCAAGATTTGCTTAAATTAACAGGTTTTTTGTTATTAATTCACTGTTATTAACAAACGTTAGTGAATAGGCCCTTTGTGGGGGAAAAACATTGTAGTAATTTCACCAACATAGCTAAATATCACATACCTACACCTATTGTCCACATATTTAAACCCAAGGGTTCTGAGACCGATTAGCATGTGATTAGCTTCCTGGGGGCTCATTGCTGTCACCCTTTCCCTCACCGGCTGTAAAATGCCTCCATGTTGCTCAGCCCACATGCCAAGCCCAACCCCAGGGCCTTTGCATGTGCTGTTCACGCAGTCTGGAACACTCCACCTCTTTACACCCCTAGGACCTGCTTCCTCGATTTTAGTTCTCCGCTCGAAGAGAATTCTGGGACCGCTCTGTTTGTAGTAACAACCCTGGACCCAGACACAGGACTCCCTCCATTTCCTAAGCCGTGAACGAGGCCCCACCTGCCAGACCCAGGAGGGGTTCTCAGCCTTGGCATGATTGAGATTTTGGACCAAACACTTCTTTGTTGTCCTGTATGTTCTAGCATATCCTAAGCTGTGACCACCGGCATTCCCCTGGGGGCCAAAATCCCCAGAAGATATATATGAGGTCATAACAGGCTGTTATGAGAGGAGGTAGGAGCTCAGACACCGGCCAGCTTGGTGCAATGAGCTCGAGTATCTGGAAGGAGAGGCTGTTGTCTGACCTTGGCTTTCCAGGTCAGGACAGACCCACACCTGCGAGGCA